GTCACCACACTATTGTCTGTGTCCTGGGTTATGCAGATGTGCATATAAATTCTTTGGTTAATCTCTCCCTACCCACCATATTGTCTTTTTATATTGTCTTTTTAATCTGACGAAGCTACTGGATATTGTGCTTCAACAAAATGAGGTTGTAAACCATAAAAGAAGATGATATGAAAGCCCAAAGAACAGGGAACCCATTTAGGATATAGGCCAAGGAAACTCCTAAGATAAGAGTGGAAGGGACTCTCATGATGATATGCAGGCCTGAAAAGCAAGCGGTTCAGAGAAAAGGGAATACGAATTCCTTTAGGAGGGATGTCTCTTTGAAAAGAATGTAACTGATAAATTACTTGACCTGGTACAGAAAAGCCTTTGGGCGATGTGGGAAGAGCTGGCAGTGGGTACAAGGAGAACTAAATGAAGGAAGCAATAAGGCTATTATTAACTTCAGGAAAAGTGAAAGGTAAGAAAGAAAAGATAATTGATAACAGATTATAATTTTGGGCGGGGTGATAATATTTGCATGGGTATATTAATCTAAGCATGGAATGTTGATTTAATCAAAATTGTAATGAAATTGTAGGGGAGGAAGAAAGTAGAGGAGGAGAAGTTGAGGGAATGATTGTGCACAAGAGCAATATGCTCATCTACCATGACAGGTCGCAATCAAATTATATCCCAAATGGGTAATACTCAAAAGAGTAGAATACACATATTAATTAGAATGTGGAGATGTGTGAATGCCAAAAGAGACAGCTAAAATTGTTGCAGGTCCTTGTCTCTGGGACTGTTTTTGTTTAGATATTTTAAGCCTCTTTGGTCTATTTTAAGACAATCTACATGTATAGAAAAAAATATAAATTATCTTTAAAAAGCTTCTGAATTTTGCAATGCACTATTAGACTAAACAAGAGGAAAAACAAGAAACACATGCCTAACTACAGGGAATTTAGAAAGCAAGGCAATTTAGGCTTTCAGGGTCAGAGTAACCAGTGGCTTTTTGCTGATGTGCTCAAATGATGTCAACTAATCAGATAATTCCTTTGGTTTGGCTGTATGAGCTAGGCAATTATAGGTTGTTTTGAATTCTGTTTTTTCCTTCATAATCTCTCAATAACTAAGAAGAAAGATTTCTTCTTCCCTTTTTTGTATATTAAAG